GTGTGCCTTGGCATGTCTCTTCTACATCAACATGTGTCCCCTCTGTGTAAAGAGACTCTGAAAGTTTCAGGAACAAAGATTCTCTCTCTTTTTGTCCTGGTCCATTTCTATAAAAACCTGTCTGAAATGAGCTGATCAGATTTTGGCCACTTTATGATGTCATAACGATTTGTTGGCTTGTGTAANGTGGGGAGGGGCTCCTTATTTTCATCTAAAGTAACAGACAGAATCAGCACTTTGGAAACAGGGCTGAAACAGAGGGGATTATGGGTAATGCTGCAATGATCTGTTTGGTGTTTCAGCCAATCAGAGACATGTTCTGTATATATCTGAGACCGGTGATATATTGATGAAAAACAGAATAATAGGGGAGCTTTAAACGCTTGTTCAAAACACAGTGTAATACTCTAATCCTTTAATCAGACCGCTGGTATGCAAAACCTCATGGGATGTTTTGTTGAAAGGTTTTTGAACAATTACAACCTTTGTAGTCTACTTAGAGCAGGGGGGTCAAACTCAAATACACAGTGGCCCAAAATAAAAAAAATGGGTACTAGTCGAGGGCCGGACTGGTTCAATGTTTATTGCAGAACTGATTGCAATGAACTTATTGCACATATTAAACCTGGAACTAACAAAGCTTCAATGATTGCCTATAAAAACAACATTAAACATTAAATAATCAGCTGCATTCATTTCTTATGGCTCTATCTGCAGCTTTTCCAGAGTCATTCCTTATGATTACATTTTCCCACAGGCCAACAACAGCTTCAACAAAACTATTTCCCTCAAAGAGAAACCAAACATGCCCTGTTGTCGTGAGAGAAAAAGTGTAGAAGGAAAGATCCATTAAACTCAGTGTGCTGCTCTGTGAGGCTAGTTCAGATACTTGGCATCTCATCTTGGGTGCAAGTTCATCAATGTTTGGGGTCAGGCTCTGAGCTGAGGAGACCCTCAGGATGGAGTGAAGGTGTGCGTGCAATATACCGGCGGGCCAGATCTAATAGTAATTAGAAATTATCCTGCGGGCCGAAATTAAATCCACCAAGGGCCTGATTTGGCCCCCGGGCCTTGAGTTTGACACATGTGACTTAGAGTCTACAAAAATAATGAAAATGTTGTTCAAACAAAGTGAAAAATTGTATAGTTATAAGCCAGTTAGACTCCTCTGTCTTTTTGTAGTTTTGCATGTTTTAGTTGCTGCAAATATGTTTTAAAAGCATAAAATGCAATCTGTAGTTTGTTGAAACATACAGAAGACAAGAAGTATCATAGTGATTATTTTCAATCGCCCCTCCAGAAATATAAGTTCAATACTTTCTGGCTTTTATGCTCTGTTTTGGTGTCCTCCACTTTCAAGGCCAATTGTGCATTCCCGTGCTCCTTATATGGTCCCATCTCCCATTTTGGGAAGTCTTTCTTTTTGAAGTCGGTTAATTTAAAGGGGACCTATCATGCAAAATGCACTTTGTGATGTCTTTTATACATAAATATGTGTCCCCGGTGCGTCGGGGAACTCACGCAGCGTCAGAAAATATAACCCTCTCTCTTTTCCTCCGTACCCAAATCTTTTAAAAACGGGTGTACAACNTCTTCTTAGGAGTCTCCCCTGTGTAGCAACTACAATCTTCTCTGTACTTCTTCTCCCCTGTGTCAACTACATCTTCTCTGGTACTTCTTCCCCCTGTGTACAACTACATCTTCTGCTGTACCTTCCTTCTCCTCTGTGTACAACTATATCTTCTCTGTACCTCTTCTCCCCTGTTGTACAACTACATCCTTCTGTACTTCTTCTCCCCTGTGGTACAAACTACATCTTCTCTGTACGCCTCTTCTCCCCTGTGTACAACTACATCTTCTCTGTCACCTCTTCTCCCCTTGTGTACAACTAATCTTCTCTGTACTCTTCTCCCTGTCGGTACAACTACATCTTCTCTGTACCTCTTCTGCCCCTGTGGTACAACTACATCTTCTCTGTACCTCTTCTCCCCTGTGTACAACTACATCTTCTGTGTACCTCTTTCCCCTGTGTACAACTACATCTTCTCTGACTTCTTCTCCCCGTGTACAACTACATCTTCTCTGTACTTTTCTCCCCTCGTACAACTACATCGTTCTCTTTACTTCTTTCTCCCCTTGTGTAAAGCTACATCTTTCTGTACTTCTTCTCCCGTGGTACAACTACATTTCTCTGTACCTCTTCTCCCCTGTGTACAACTACATCTTCTCTGTACTTCTTCTCCCCTTGTACAACTACATCTTCTCTGTATTCTTCTCCCTGTGTACAACTACATCCTTCTGTACCTCTTCTCCCTGGGTGTACAACTAACATCTTTCTCTGTACCTCTTCTCCTCCTGGTGTACAACTACATCTTCTCTGTACTTCTTCTCCCCTGTGTACAACTACATCTTCTCTGTACTTCTTCTCTGTGTACAACTACATCTCTCTGCACTTCTTTTCTCCCCTGTGTACAACTACATCTTATTCTGCACTTCTTCTCCCCGTGTACAACTACATCTTCCTGTACCTCTTCTCCCTGTGTACAACTACATCTTCTCTGTACTTCTTCTCCCCTGTGTAAACACATCTTCTCTGTACCTCTTCTCCCCTGTCGTACAACTACATCTCTCTGGTACCTCTTCTCCCCTGTGTACAACACATCTTCTCTGTACCTCTTCTCCCTGTAGTACAACTACATCTTCTCTGTTACTCTTCTTCCATTTCTATAAAAACCTGTCTGAAAATGAGCTGATCAGATTTTGGCCACTTTATGATGTCATAACGATGTTTTGTCTTGTGTAACCATTAGCCAATCAGCAACCAAGGTAACCCCCCCCCCTTATCACCTGAATCTCCTCCTAGAGCACCATTGAGTTCTTTTTAACCAAATGTCTCTCAGAGGGGCGTGGGGAGGGGCTCCTTATTTTCTTCTAAAGTAACAGACAGAGAATCAGCACTTTGGAAACAGGGCTGAAACAGAGGGGATTATGGGTAATGCTGCAATGATCTGTTTGGTGTTTCGAGCCAATCAGAGACAGGCTCTGTATATATTCAGAGACCTGTGATATATGGATGAGAAACAGTATAATAGGGGACCTTTAATCATAGTCAGCTGCCATTTCATGCACTTGCAAATGGGACCTGATTGAGCTGGCTGGTGAGAGCGATGGAATAAGGGATGATCTCTTGAGGGTTTCCTTGTTGGACTAAAGCCCAAAGCTCTGTCTGGCTCTTGTTTCTCAGCCACTGATTGGCAACTGCGTCCTTTGGAGGAGTTTCAACTGTCAGCATTCTGTAGAAGAGAGGAAACAGAGACTGTGAGAGTTCACAAAAACCCACATTCGGCATAATCTGTAAACAACTTAAATATTGTTTCTAAATGTAGATGGACAATTCGAGTATAGGGACAGGTGTGGCACATGACAAGTTGTGATACATGTTATGCTTCGGCTGCATTAGTTCCTGGTTACCTGTTCAGAGCAATGACTTTTGCCCCCAGATGGTCTTCTACCAGCAAAGTAACTGAGATAACTGATGTGCTTCTTCCTTGCCCAGGACTTCCCATTGGAACCAGACTGCCATAAGCTGAACGAGTACCCCTAGGAAAATAAATTAAGAAATAAAAGACAAAAGAGCTTAAGTTGTTCGGGTCAAAATACATTTGATTGTAGAATCTGTAGGCAATGGGACTTTATTTGTGTCTGTTTGTAGTCAGGTAGTTTCGATCAATCGTGCTTGAGCCTGATTTTGATGGATGCAGGTAAAACTTTAGAGAAGGAATAAAATGCGGCTAAAATGCAATCTTGGATCCATCGGATATCGTCTGACGATGATTTAAATCTCTATCAGCTCGGCCTACATTCTACTTGGGAAACAAACCAATCGTGGACATTATGTCTCTCTATGGGATCCTCATTCTCATTGTTGTTAATCGAGCTTTCAACAATGACTGGTGCATGGAGGAGGACGTCTTTGTTGGATGTCCATTATCAGTTTTCCTGGATATCTGATGGCTTCACTCGTGACATTGGACAGGAAGCAAATTCAAACCTTACCTCTTAATGCTATTTCTAATGTGTAGGTTGAAGGTCACCTATTATGAAAAATACACTTCTTCATGTCTTTCATAGATAAACGTGTGTCCCCTCTGTGGAAAGAGACTCTGAAAGTTTCAGGAACAAAGATTCTCTCTCTTTTTGATCCATTTCTATAAAAACCTGTCTGAAAATGAGCTGATCAGATTTTGGCCACTTGATGATGTCATAACGATGTTTTGTCTTGTGTAACCATTAGCCAATCAGCAACCAAGGTAACCCCCCCCCCCACCTTATCACCTGAATCTCCTCCTAGAGCACCATTGAGTTCTTTGTAACCAAATCTCTCTCAGAGGGGCGTGGGGAGGGTCTCCTTATTTTCATCCAAAGTAACAGACAGAGAATCAGCACTTTGGAAACAGGGCTGAAACAGAGGGGATTATGGGTAATGCTGCAATGATCTGTTTGGTATTTGGAGCCAAACACTTCAGAGACATGTTCTGTATATATCTGAGACCTATAACCTATTGATGAAAAACAGTATAATAGGGGACCTGTAAGATCACACGTCATGGTCTATAAATAGCTGTTAGTTGAGGTCTGTATTTACCTGTACAGAGTGAGTAAGGGGCACACCGGGCCATTGGGATGACATGGTGCAACTTGGAAGGTGTAAATCAGCTGAGAGGTCCCGCTTTCATCATCTTGCCACCCTGCCAAAAGACAACAGATGTTCGCAAATCCCGTTCAGTTTGATGGATAAATCACTTTCTCTAAACTGCAGGATTTCCTCAATTCAGAGTTGAAACGCTTCCACTCAGTGTTACCTGAGCAGTTGTAGGTGACCACCGTCTCCAGCAGACGTATATCTGACTCTGGACTGAGTTCACAGAGGCCTCCATGAGGGGGATTGTTAGGGTGGATCGTCAGGCTGGCGCTACCCCAACGCCCTCTGCCAGGCTGGGACACATTGAGAGTGAAGGTGTAACTCTGTCCTGGTTGTAGGACACCTGAACGCACCACCAGGTTAGGAGAGTGTCTGCCGGTAGATGTGGAGACCTCGTTAAGGTCAAGGGTCACGCCAGTCTGGTCCTCAGCACTCCACTTGTACTGTGAGAAAACGCTTCAGGATGAATGTCTTGTGACTGTCAGAATAATTCTTGGATGCCATCAATAAACCTGTTCACTGTTCATTTGACCATTTAATTAAGTATTGCTAAAATGACATGAAGATTAAACCAATGAAGGTTGGAAACCAATGTCAAATTACAAACAAATTCCTTAAACCACAAGATAATTAAAAAGATAATGAATAAAGCAGAGACTACAGCAAAGGGAGAACAGTTTTCACTACCATTGCCGTTCCATGAACTCTTTTGCAACAGAATATTCCAAACATTTTTACTTCAAGATAAAGTTACTTAGTTGAAAGTGGGAAGTTATTGTCCGATTCATTACCTGAGCTCGATCGTCACACTGTCCACATTGTCCTGACAGTACAGTGGGGGTGGTATAGCTTATTTGGTGAGGGGAGGACAGAAGAGAGCAGGACACGCAATCCACAATCACAGGAAACACAGGAGCTTCACTCGTAGTCACCTGTGGATTAGACATGGAGGGAAGAAGAGTATTTTTGGGCTAAATTCATTGGTTTGTCTACCGTAACTTCCAAAATTGTCTCCCAAACTATTTATTCGTAAGAGCATGCTTTTGTGTTAAGATAGAGGGAGATGTGGGGTTATACTCACCGTCTGGTTGAAGGAGACAGGACTCCTTCCTGCTTTGTGTACAGTCAGGGTGAACACGTAGACTGTGCCTGAGTGCAACTGAGTGCCAAGCACCGTCATGTTACTGCTGTTAGTTGTCTTAGGCTGCTTTGCAAAATGAGACTCGGTTGAGTTCTGAAAATACAAACACGTGGGTCTTAGTATCACTTATATAGACTGTTTTTCAAATATGTATTCTATTATGTTATCTTATTCATCCTTAGGAGGATAGTAGTAGCTAATGTATTCTTCATAAAGACAACTAGGAAGATTGAGGTCACTGTAAAGGTCTCCTATTATACTGTTTTTCATCAATATATTATAGGACTCAGATATATACAGAACCTGTCTCTGATTGGCTGACACACCAAAAAGATCATTGCAGCATTACCCATAATCCCCTCTGTTTCAGCCCTGTTTCCAAAGTGCTGATTCTCTGTCTGTTACTTTAGATGAAAATAAGGAGCCCCTCCCCACGCCCCTCTGAGAGACATTTGGTTACAAAGAACTCAATGGTGCTCTAGGAGGAGATTCAGGTGATAAGGGGGGGGGGGGGTTACCTTGGTTGCTGATTAGCTAATGGTTACACAAGACAAAACATCGTTATGACATCATAAAGTGGCCAAAATCTGATCAGCTCATTTTCAGACAGGTTTTTATAGAAATGGATCAAAAAGAGAGAGAATCTTTGTTCCTGAAACTTTCAGAGTCTCTTTCCACAGAGGGGACACATGTTGATGTAGAAGAGGGGACACATGTTGATGTAGAAGAGACATGAAGAAGAGGGGACACATGTTGATGTAGAAGAGACATGAAGAAGAGGGGACACATGTTGATGTAGAAGAGACATGAAGAAGAGGGGACACATGTTGATGTAGAAGAGACATGAAGAAGAGGGGACACATGTTGATGTAGAAGAGACATGAAGAAGAGGGGACACATGTTGATGTAGAAGAGACATGGAGAAGAGGGGACACATGATGGGTGATGTAGAAGACGACATGAAAAGAGGGGACCACATGTTGATGTAGACAGAGACATGAAAGAAGAGGGGATCACATGTGATGTAGAAGACATGAAGAAAGGGACACATGTATGTACGAAGAGAGGAAACACACTCGCGCGCGACTCTCGCGAAGGACATGAACACACGCACATGTCGCACAGCTCACACAAGAGCGCGGCGCACGATGAGACATGAACGAAGTGGATTCGTTGCACAATAGGTGACCTCTAACATATAACATACCAGTGCATACGCCCTCCCTCATTCTCCAGGTGGCCTATAGCCCGCACAGCGAGGAGAGCTGATGTTTTCTACATGCTCGGTCGCTCTCCTCACACTCGCTCACGCTCTCCAAACGAGAGGTACCACAGCTTCTGCTGCTCTCTTCCCTCCTTCCTCGCACCTCTCTTATTCACACTCACAATCGTCTGCACACGGTACACACACGCACGCAGGGATGAGCTTCAAGGGACTCCTCTACAGCTTGCAAAATCTTCCACGCAGATCGCGCGCTCATCTGGACAACTTTGCTGAAGGGATAGCATCTTAATGAGGCTCTCTCTCTTTGGCTTTACCTACTCACTGCGCTCTTCACACGGTTCCTAGAAAAACACCCACCCTTTTCTTGGCTTGGCACAACGTATTCCAAATTGCCTTCTAAGATACCGTGCTAGCGACGTGGAGAGGGCTTGCAGGACGTAATTGGTGGTGACTTGTTAATATCGAACGTGACTAATGTCTTTAAACCCTAGCACCTTCTCCCACTTGGTCTACCGCACGTTATCTAACTCGGTCTTCTGCTGTAAGCTTGTTTATATGAAAGAGATAATCGAGACATTTGCAAGTACCTGGCTGACTTTGTCTATCTATTGATTTCACCGTCATCATGATGGCGTCAGTGTCGACATTCATTTCTCGCTCTCTGCTGTTGTTGCTCCCCCACTCACGTATTTTCCTTCACAGGTTTTTATTTTGACTCTTCTCCTCTTTCGTCTCTCATCTCCTCGACTCTCATCGCAGCTCCTCCTCTAGATGAATCGTTCAGCATCCTGCCAGCGGGAGTCTTTCCTGCCTCATCTGCTATGGTTATCCATGACCTGTGGGACTTGTTAATATGGTAACTAACGCGCCCAGCTCCTTTCGGCTACAACTGCTGCCACTTTAGGATCTAACTGACAGAGCTATTCTACTTTTTTAATAATTCTGCAGTAGCTTCTGTAAACGACAGTATTGTGGCTCTCTTCTTATGTCATAAACGGGAATAACAGAGTTATTGTGCTATATATTATTAAATGTGCACATATGGCTTAGGTTATGCAGTTTTTAGCCTTGCAGAAGTGGGTCATGAACTGTTTGCTTCTTAACAGCCAGCGTGTGATTACTCTGTCCTTTCTGATTGATTCCCTAGTGATTATTTGCTGAACTTCTAAGTGGGCTGTTAGGATTCTGGAATTGATTGTTATCTAATCTTATACATCTTCATAGCAGCCAACAAGCACGTAATTCTGTTGTTATGTGCTGAATGAAAAGGATTTCTTTTTTTTAAATCTCCATAGAGTTGTGACTTAATTCCAGGTCACGTTAATGTAAGCTTTATTACTGTCCTACTATTGGAGAACTGTTTGCTTTATTGCACATTGAATAGTGATATAGCTTCTCGAGGAAGGAGATTGAAATAGAAAAGCATTAACAAGCTATAAATTAAGACAACTGTCCTCATAGACTTCTTCAATGCAACGTTCTTGTCTGTGTGTGTATTCATGTATAAACAAATACTTGTGGTTTAAAGAACAACATGGCGTGTTTTAAAGAGGTAAGGGTGTGTTGGAGTAGTTCTCGAGTTACGGACCTGCTTTGCATAGCCACCCATTAATTGTTGTTTTACTCCAACGCTGACAGTTAGTGAGAGCCTAATGCCTTTGAGCAAAATCCAAGATTAAACTAGAAAAGCTTGGAAACGACCTCTTCGCCATCTGGGTCTCCTCTCC